AGACCTTTCTCCTACAATATATACATGCATTTTGTCCCAATTATAAAAACATTTGACGCCCAATAGAAACTATTTCCTGAAATCAAAAATGAAACTAAAAATATATTAAAAGCCAAAATATTTCATCATTTAACGCCATGACTTAATAGTATTTTATGACCTACAGTCAGGCAGTAATTTAATATTTTGAACAAATGACTGTTTCTTAGTATAATTATAACAAATACTAAATAATATTAGCCTTCCAAAAAGAAAAGAAAAAAAGCAGTGTAAGAAAGACACATTCCACATGCCACACGGTAAGGTAAGGTACTTAAAAGAAATTCCTGAATCTAGGTCGTATGTCCATCATATTTCCCCCCACCTCAAAAAAAAAAAAAAAAAAAAAAAAAAAAAAAAAAAAAAGCAGCTATTCCCAAGGGTCATAGGACATAATGGATTCATTCTCATCCCAAGAAAACAAAATACTGAAAATGATTGGTACCAATAAGGAGAAAATACTCTAAAGTAAAATGGTCCTACATCTGCCTCTAACTTCATTCGTTTCTAGTTTATGAAGATGTGAGTTTGAAACTGCTCCTTTAAAAGCAGGCCGACAAAGCAAACCTTTTTAAAATTAATTATGTGGGCTCACTTCCACGATTTTTCTCTATAATGCTTTTTCCTTGTGTAAAATCAAAAACAGAAGTTGAAATCACAAGTTTTCTATCAAGAATAGAAAAATATATTATCCTTAAAAGCAAAATTCTAATAACTAAAGATCTGAAAGCAGCGGACAGCAGTGTTCAGCCTAGGATTCACAAGATGGTCTGTTAAATTCAGCCCTTCCTTCACTCTGACAAGTCTTTCCTCTAAGGTATGATTATTGTTAAAATACCTCTTCCTAAAATAAATGAGTTACATAAAAATATATATACAACCACTGTTGTTCCCCTCTTAACAGATCAGAATTTTTAAAACTTTCATAGTATTAACATGAAAGAAAAATTATTTGGAAAAAACACACCCAGCACAACTTGCTTAGAATATAGTTTCCCTAATTCATTGTGTAAGCAGTTCAAACAAGGCTCAAATTACCTAATCTAACAAAACAATCAAGAAAAAAAAAGATTTTAGGGCATTTCTGTATTCTCCAAATCAAAAGCAAGTATGAAAGGATTCTTAGTATTTCACAGGAATATCTGATTTTTCCCCTTTTAATTATTATCTGCAAAAATATTTACGTGGTTTTCTCATTTCGTTTTTTAAACATGTCAATTCTAATCAAAACTCCTCATCCACAAACATCTTAAACAGTCAGACCTGATACATCACAAAAAAAAAAAAAAGGAGCTTAAATCCTGTTTCCAAGGCGAATTACACATCACCAAAATATACGGTTACCTATCAAAATCTTGAAATTAAAAAAATTTAAATGTTAAATTAAGCTGCGTGTGCTGAGAGAATTCAAATTTTTCCACAGCAGAATTCGTAAAGGGGAGACTTTTACAAAGGCTTTACAAATCCAAAACTTGGTAAAATTGGTGGTTTACTTATTTTTCAATGGCCTTATCCTCAGCCTCCAATTAAAGTACATGATAAATGTAATGTGCAGATTGTAAGACTGTCATCAAAAATCTGAATTTTGTAAATGCCCAATACCGGACACGAGCGAACTGTTTTTCTGTATTTGATCCCTATATTAATAACTATGATTCATAATAGTTTAAGCTTTAAATATTAAACCTTACATCTGCTTGTAATAGAGCTCAGTTATTATTTGTGGCAAGAATTTTTGTGACTGTACTGCTCAGCACTTCTATTTACATCAGCAGTGCTAAATGCCCAATGGTGAGAGGGGAGCCAATCAGATGGCAGATTAGATGTCAACTCAGAGGCAGCTGTCTGGAGACTATTACAGCCAGTTTACCTCCACAATTCAAATTCCAAACCTTGCAAAGGAGATCAAGTCAGTCTTTAGGCTCAGCCTACTAGCAAGAAACAGCAAGAGTGCAGGACACTTCCTAACAGCGCTGTAGGACTCGGGTGACAACAAAATAAAGAAAATCCAAATAAATACGATCCCAAAAGATCCATTTTCACTGGTTTGCTATCTGATTGGACTTGCTGAATAAAATGCATGCCTAATCCTTGACCAAAATAAGTTCAATTGATCCGGAACGTGCTCCTTTCACACAGCCTCCCTGGTGAAGGTGACTCCCTGCAAGCAGCCCGTAAGCCCAATAATGGATTTCCCTGGCTACTCTAAGGAACGAACCGATGTATTTTAGAATATTGCACCTCCCCGTCGTTGTAAATTTTGGAATTATTCCTGCCAGCAAACATTCGAGCTCGAAGCCCGCACCGAGTGTGTCTGAAAAGCTCTCCCTAAGTAGGAAAAACCCGCTAGCTTGTCACAAAGCTAACCTATTTTCCCTGCCTGGACCTCGGAAGCCAGGAGGGAACGAGCTGTGGCCCAAGGTGAGAGAAAGTTCCTCGTTCTTTCCCCCGTTAAAGCACACTGTGGGCGCTCCCAGAGCCGATCAGGTGGCTCTTCGCCCCGGCCGTCCGGGCCGGGTGAGCCTGTTTGTTACAAAAGCACCCGAACGGTCCCTGCCGCCCCAAACGGCGTCCGTGCGGGTGGCGCCTCGGAATCTCGCCTCGCGTTCCCGGGCCTGGGGGAGGGGTGGGGGCGCCGGTGCGGGCCGGCGGGGTCGAAGCCACCCGGCCCGGCCCGGCGAAGCCCTCCCAGGCCTGGACAGCTCGTCGGTCCCGGGGGCGCCCCGACCGCGGTGGGAGGCGGCCGCCCGTCAAGATGGCTTTGGGCGCCGCGCCCCCGCCGCCCCCGCCACCCCCGCGGGAAGACGGGGAAAAGTACGCGGCAAAGAAAGAAACTCAGGCTCGCGGCGCGGCGAGGCCGCCGGGCGGAAGCAGGCCCGGCCGGCGCGGGGGTTACCTGGGATCTGCCCATGGTCGGTCCGGGGGTGCCGGGACTCATCGCCGGGTGACTCCTTTGTTGCGCGGCCGCCCAGGCCGGGCTGGCAGCGGCGTACTGGGCGCCCATGTCCTTGCCCAAGCCCATGCCCGCGGCCGCCTGCTGGCCGCCCGCCGCCGCCCCCGCCGCCGCCTGGGACTGGGGCTGCGACGGCGGCGGCGGCGGCGCGCTGGGGCTGCTGTACTCGGGGTAGCTGCCGCCGTAGCTCCGCATCATGGGGCTGGGCGAGGTGAGCAGCTGGTTGAGGGTCGGGGTGGCCCCCGACGGGTGCTGGTTCTGCCCGGCGAAGCGCTGGAAGCCCCCCGCCGCCGAGCCGGCGGCCGCCTTGCTGAGGCTCGCGGCCCCGCCGCCCCCGGGGCCCATCATCATGCCGCCGCCCTGCTGCCGGGGGGAGCTCAGTACCCCGTACCCCGCGGACGAGCCCCCATAGCCGCCGCCGCCGCCTCCTGCTGCTGCTGCCGCCGCCGCGGCCGCCGCCGCCACAGCTCCCGCTCCTGCTCCTCCTGCTCCTGCTCCTGCTCCTCCTCCTCCTCCTCCTCCTCCGCTGCCTCCTCCTCCTCCGCCGCCGCCGCCGCCGCCGCCCGCGCCGGGCCGGCTGTAGCCCGGATAATGGTTGCACTGGCTGTTGGGGTACCCTTCGTGGGAGTTCTGCAGGGGGTCCATGCTGCCGGGGGCCCCGGCGGCGGCGGAGGCGGAGTGCATCATCCCCATCCCGGGGCTTTGTTGTCCGCCATGTTGATCAAAGCAAGGCCCAGCGCGGCCGCCGGGGCCGCCGCTCGCAGGGGCAGCGCTGCCATAGTAATTATTAAACTCCGGGACGGCCGCCGGGCCGCCGCCGCCCCCGGGCACGGCGACCGGCGGCTGCTGCGCGCCCAGGGCGCCCACGCCCGGGTGCTCGTAGCGGCCGCCCGCCGGCTCCCCCATCTTGGGCGGCGCGTCGTCCTCGTCGCCCGGCTTGCTCAGCAGCGGCGGGCCCGGGGGGTCGGCCTGGCCGCCCGCGGCACTGTCCTTGGCTCCTCCATGTTGCGGCTGCTCCATGTCGGGGCCGGGCTGAGGCGCGCCGCCGCCCGCGCCGCCCAGGCTGTTGTTGTTGGAAATGGGATGTTGCTGCTGCTGCTGCTGCTGTTGCTGCTGCTGCTGCTGCTGGAACTGGTTTAGCTGCTGCTGTAGTGCGTGGTGGTGGTGGAGGTGGTGGGCATGGTGGTGATGGTGGTGGGCATGGTGGTGGTGGTGGTGCTGCTGGTGGGGCGGCGCGGCGGGGGCTTCGCCAACGGTTTTCAGTTTGTGGTTGGGGAGCAGCCCCGTCTCCATGGCCGAGCCCGGGCCCGACGAGGAGGAAGAGGACGCCGCCGCCGCCGCGGAGGAGGAGGAGGACAGCGCGGCGGCGCTTCCACCCTCCTTGAGAGCCGCCTCGGAGCCGCCGCTCTTGGCGCTGTGGGTGCCGGCGGCGGCGGCCGCGGCGCCCGCATTATGGGCCATGTTGAGTTCGTGACGGGGGAGCAGGGGGTGGTGGTGCACACTGTTCAGGCCGCCGCCGCTGTCGCCGCCGCCCCCCGGCATGGGTCCCGGTGCCGCCGCCGCCGCCGCGCCGCGCGCCCCCGCCTCCAGGTCCCGGGCCCCGGGCGCCGGCCGCGGCCCGGGGGGCGCCCGCCGCTCGCCGCTGCCTGCCCGCGCCCGCGCCCGCGCCGCCGCCGCCGCCGCCGCCGCTGCTGCCCGCGCGGCCATGATCGCCGCGGCGTGGCGAGGCCGGGCGGGGGGTGGGGGGAGACAATAACCCCCACTTTTCAGGCCGCGGCCCCTCCTGTGCGCATCCACGCGGCCCGCCGGGAAGCCGCGACCCCCTCCCCCTCCTCAGGCCCCGCCGGAGCGCCGGGCCGGGCACGCCTTACGCTCTGGGCCTGCTCCTGCTGTGTGCTTTCATGGTGAAAGTTTTTAGTTCAGGTTTAAATGAAACTTTTCTCTTTTCCTCTCTAACCCGGATATGGGTAAATACACGACTGGCTGAGCCTATCGGGCCCAGCATGGCATGAGAAGAAGCGGGCGAGCTCCAGCAACTATTATCCACTTCGCTCGCATTACTCCCGCGCACTCGCAAAACGCGGACTGGACTCGTCCCCGGGCTGCAGTCGCCGCCGCCCGCCCGCCCCGGCTCAGCCTCGCGGGGCCCAGCCGGGCTGGGACTAAGGCTGGGGCCAGGGCCGGGGCGGCTCGGCGGCGGTCCGGAGCGCGGCGGCGTGGGGCGGCCGGAACCTGCACTTTCCCCCCGGGCCGCTGTCTCCTTGCCAACCGGGCGTTCGCGTGTTTGTTTTCACGTCTAAAAGGAACGATACAAAGGTGGAAAACGAGTCTGACGAGCAGACAAAAGAGGGAGAAGGGCCGGAGAACAAAGTTGTCTGTTGGCCTCAGAGGTTACAAGGAGCCGACGGAGAAAGAAAATATTTAGGCAATCTGTGCAAAAGCACGGTCTCTCCCAGGAGTTATGTAATTCTCAGAACGTTTGCCTCTGCCTTGATTTCGGGCCATCGGCGTAATTCCCACAACTTCTTCCAACTGCAGAATTAGTAAAGATTTGAAATGAAAGTTAGCCCCGGTCAGAGAGCCCTGTGCTTTGTACACAGCAGGTACTTAATAAATGTTTATCACTCGTTCCAAAGAGAATGTTTACATAACTCTTTCTGAAGACACCTTAAACACGTATTAGGCTTGTCAAGGAAAACTCCAAGTATTCCCAAAGGAGCATTTTTCTTATTATGTGCACTTAGATGTCCTCTCTCGAGTATGTACAGAGGTGTTTTCTGCTCCAACTTCCACAGGAAAATTTAACTCTTGGTGCCAGAACAGCGACAGCTATGGGTTAGCTTGTATCTTCATAAATCTGCATGACACCTTTCATCCTATTTCAGAGCTGCATGTACACAGTTAACCCTCTTGATATACATTCAAAGAAATGTGAAACAAAACAAAAATATTATAAACATTATATTGAATAAATGTAACCAATAATAATGTAAAACAGTCTAATCCTAAAGTAGAAACGTTCCATACTTTGTTCTCTTAAAAACTGGTGTCTATCATTTTACAATGTTTTAAACGTTTGCATTGTTACTAGTGTTTTAAATATTTGCATTGTTATTAATCATTTAGTAACATTTTGAAAAGCAAGACTTCTTAATCTTAGGCAATGGCCCACTTGTACCAGTGCGGACTCAGTTTTCACGGAGAGAAAGCATTTAAAAGCTGGCAGAAACAATATTTAAGGTTTTGTTAGGGCATAGTTTTCCAAAATTATTTCATTCTTCAGCTTTCCATAAAAACTATTTTGATTCATTTCCACTGCAGTGGTTATTTGTTTGACCAAGTGTAAATATGTTACATGACTAAATAGAAAAGGAGAGACGGGAAAACTGGTGACTAATTGGGCTGGGGGGGGAGGGAATCAGGTGCACACCCAAGGGTCATTACAGAGTGTAGAAACAAGAAATTGCAATTCTACGCAAACAACTGGAAAACGGGGTATATCATAGTGTGTTAGAGAGAATAACAGAACCATAAGATGAATTCGTGCCAAATCATTCATCAGTTTTTGCCAAGAGAATACTACATCTTTGTTAGTGTGCCTTTTTGACATTTTTTCCTGGATTTTCTCCCTTTATATATTCAAATACATACTAATTATACACATTACACCACAGAAGTTGAATTTTTAGTTTTTCATATGCAAATATAAATATACGTCTGTTTTGTGTGTATATACATATATTCTAAAATCAATTACATATTTATGCTTTTAGACATTTATAGTCAAACTAAGTATGTACACATAACCGTAAAAGTGCATTTTTTCAAATTGATAAAATAGATCAAAGTCAGCTCATACAAGTATAGCCATATGTTGTAGCTTATTTTCACAACTAATCCTAAAAGGGAAAATGAGTCACCAAGTTCAGCTATCACCCTTATCCTTAAAATATTTTTTCATATTGGAAAATCATGAAACTTTAAAAAAATGAATAGTAAAAATCTCTTTTAATTCCATTTGCTTCAGCAAGTCAACTAGAAGATGGGAACTAAGAGGCTATAAACTAGAGGCCCCCAGCACAATGAAATCAGTCTGCTATAAAAGGCGACACATGCCAGTTTTTCCTCCCCAGTGGCAGATGCCACACCCTAAAGCAGACAGAAGGCGCTGCAGCTTGTAGGAGACGCACCACACAAAGCCGACAGGACTTGGTTTTGTCTTTTAAACCACAGAGAATGCTAAAATACCTTTTTAAAGCATCTTTGCTGAAGGTAAGAAGTGTACTCGAATGTGTCCAACTTCTCAAACACACCTCAGGAAAACAAAATAAAAGCCTCACCGTTTCATTTAAACATCAGGGCTTAATAAACAAAATGCCAGTTGTCAGGGGTCTGTTATAAAGTGATGAAATAGGTTCCCATTACACAAAAGCACAATTTCAACCTCAGGTTAGAATTTCCATTGTGTTCCTTGCCTCAACTATCCCACAAGGCAATTCCACCTTACTGATTCTTTTTGATGAAATAAGGTACCGGAAATCAGTGTGCTCATTTTTCCTAATGAATTCCTTTATTTTACACCTCTTACTAAATTTCAGACCACAATGACAACCTTAATAAGTTACCCTAACCACAAAGAACCCGTGAGGTAAAGGCCCAGAGGCTGCCCGCCTGCCCTGGGTCCCAGCTGACCTCCCACCCACAGGGTGCTCCCCACGCCTTCATGTTTAGCCAGAGGATTACCCATTATTTTGTTAAACATTCCATTTTGGTTACAAAAGACTTTTTTTTGTTGTTACTGTATGGAAATATTAATATTCAAATACTGCGCCTTTTGAATAAGTTTTAGGGCGCTGAATAAAAGGCTCTTCAACTTGGCCACTTAAAGAGGATTGAGCCAGATGGTAGTTGAAGAATTCCACAGTTCTGTTCTTTTTGCCTCACCGTAGCCCATCATACTGTTTGCTTTCCGATTAGTTCCCTTTAACTGTTCTGCTTATTTATTCGATGACTGCAACTATCACGATTCACTGCCCATCATATTTCTAACTATTCTTTATGTAATTTGGAAGCAATTTAGAATAAAGCCCTGTCAAGGTTTTACAAATAAGAACTATTAAAGAATAAAGCTTTGGATACTTGCTTTCTTTTTAGATTTATGAGAAATGCGATGAATGGAGCTAATGGGATTTCCCCACTGATCTTGGTCAGGGACTTAAGAAAGCACGAAACAATTGTCCTTTTCACTTCTCCGATTTAGACGTTAGCAGTGAATAACTCTGCGTCAGTGCAAGATATGGGATGTAGCATTTGCTTTGAAACAACTGTGCAAAACAATTAGGTAGGATTTGAAAAAAACCTAGGCAAAAAAAAAAATAGTTTAAGTCAATTTGGGAACTACAGCAGGCAGTAGCACTATTGAACTTACTAAGAAAATTCTTGTGGGGAGAATGAAGCTAGATGGAGATAAACTGCACACAGTCATTCAAATTTACCTGGAGTCTACCTTGTGCCATGCCCTGAAAATTAAAAGATAAATATTACCTTGGTCCTATCCTTCATAGGGGAGGTAATCACTCAAACCTACTAAGGTCTGTCCTTCAGTGTTACAGGGGATTTGGCCAGTAAAGAAGCAAGCCCAGACCTTCCCCATCCCACAGCTTTTCCTGCAGCAGAGACTTGCTGGCTGCCATCAGCAGGCACCTGACCCTAATCCTCCCTCTGACACAGCTCCCACTTGACCCCTGGAACCTACCACAGTGGAGATTGGACTTCCAGAATCTTAAGTTCAACATCAGGCTACTGCAGTTAAAAGTCCTTCAAAGCATAGTAACACCATTGAAATACGTTAAGAAACACCTTACTACATTTGAATACATTGTACTTTTTATTTCATCCTGGACTGTCTGCTTTTGAATGACTTTATTGTAGCCTCATTTGTAAATTTCCTGTAACTTTTAGACAAATGTGTGTTCAATGGCACTTCTTTTATTTCCAGTACTGTCCTCAATCATTTTGCCATCAGTGAAAATCACTTAGCACCTACCAATGTTTTCCAATATTCTCCTTCTATGTCATGTCACATAGTCATCTATGTGGCCCTGAGTGATAACATGCTGTATGACTGGCTAAAGGCCCTGCATAGGTAACTCCTCTCTAGTTCCTCAAAAATAAATACTTGGAGTAAACATATATAACAGGTATACAAAGAAGTCACTTAAGGCCGGGTGTGGTGGCTCGGTCCTATAATCCCAGCCGAGGCGGTTGGGATCACGAGGTCAGGAGATCAAGACCATCCTGGCTAACATGGTAAAACCCGGTCTCTACTAAAAGTACAAAAAAAAAAAAAAAAAATAGCCAGGCATGGTGGCACACACCAGTAGTTCCAGCTACTCAGGAGGCTGAGGCAGGAGAATCCCTCAAACCCAGGAGGCAGATGTTGCAGTGAGCTGAGATTGCACCACTGCACTCCAGTCTCCGTGACAGAATGAGACTGTCTCAAAAAGAAAAAAGTCACTTAGGAGTCACCTCAATTTTCTAGAAAAGTTTCAGCAACTTACCTGAGGGCCTTCTGGGTCTCTCACAGATACGATTAATTGCTCCATAGTACAGGTAAACTTTGAAAATAAGACTGTTTCAAACACAGTAAGTCCCAGATAACAATAACTCGTGCATTAATATAGTGGGTTCCTGGATTTTAGTTCACCTTATGTCCCATGGCTTTGTTCCTAATTCATTATGCAAGTCAGTGAGCACCTTTAAGGGTTTATGATAGTCATCTGATTGTCCTGGTCAGGGCCAGAGGACTTGGTTATATGCTTTTTGTAAACGAAATGACATAATTTCATTGAGGAATCTGCTTATTAACACATTCTTCTAAAAATGCCCAAGTTAGGTATAAAGAATGTTTTTCTCTAACTTGAAGTTACGTTGCAACATGTAACTCTTAAGACTTAAATTTCAGCTCTCCCTGGCGTCTTCTCAGACCCTCAGGTGACACCTGTGTCAAACTGTACTCTGTGTAGTATAGGTGACCCTCTTTATCAAGGACCGGAAATGCCAAAACATGTCCATCCAAAAGCATAACCCACAAGGAGCAGCTGGGAAGAGGACTCCTTGCCTCAACCCTGATGATTCATTTGACAAGGAACTGTCTATCCCCTTCTCTGCCCTAGCCCTGTGCTAGGCACTGCGGGCACCATAGTGAGCAATAAAAACTCATACTTGACCACACGGAATGTACCGGATCATTCATTGGATGATCACTAATGTAAAGTTACAAAGCAATGGGTTCTGAAGGAAAGGTACAGAGTTCTATGATAGAAATAGCCAAGGAGCCTGAGGAAGACTGGGGGCTAAGGGACAGCTTCCATAAGGAAATGTCACTTGGGCTGAACACTGAAGAAAGAGGAGAAAACATCCAAGAAGAGAAAGAGAAAGAGTGCCCCATACACCAGGAGGCCAGTGGGGCCAGAGAGCAGGGTGAGGACAGGCATGCTGGGAGTGGTTGCTGAGATGGGGATCACCATGCTTGTCCCAGGCCCAATTAAATAAGGGCTTGTGACCCAAAAGCAGTGGGAAGTAACCGTGGCATTTAAACAGGGGGCTAACATCAGATCTGGGTTATGGCAAGAAACCACTCCTGGGAAGACAGCACGTTGGAGGTGCAGCCAGAATTAGAATGGGGGGCAGGTCCCGGGAATCCAGGCTCAGACCTCTGGGACCAGGCAGGCCTGGCCACACTCATTTATTGAGGCTCTGAGGATGTTATGATATTAAGAAACCAGAAAAGAGGATCATAAAAATGTTTGTTTTAATGTTTACATTTTTTAATTCCTAATGTACAGACTCAAGAATACAGTGCTGTACAAGTATGCCTTTTGTAGAATAAATCTTAAGATTTTTTTTTAATTCATATGGTAGTGTGATCTGATAATAGATCCCAAACTAAAAAGGAAAGCACATGGGCCGGGTGTAGTGGCTCATGCCTGTAATCCCAGCACTTTGGGAGGCTCAGGCAGGTGGATCACCTGAGGTCGGGAGTTCGAGACCGGCCTGACCAACATGGAGAAACCCCATCTCTACTAAAAATATAGAATTAGCTGGGTGTGGTGGCACATGCCCGTAATCCCAGCTACTTGGGAGGCTGAGGCAGGAGAATCGCTTGAACCTAGGAGGTGGAGGTTGTGTGAGCTGAGATTCCACCACTGCACTCCATCCTGGGAGACAAGTGAGACTCTGTCTCAAAAGAAAAGAAAAACACATGATGAACATCTTTTAATCTAGTCGTTGTACCTCTCGGTCTAAAAGT